ATTGTTATTGTAATTTGTAATATACATTGACAAAGGAAAGGAAAATAGATATTGACAAGGGTGTAGTTGTAGCCGTGTTGGTCTAAGGACATAGGCAGACAAGGTTCTTTGGGTAAAACCAATATCTTTTATTAGACCAACTCAAATAGTTCGCAAAATTCTTCTTTGCAAGCTTTTGGGTACAAGGTCTAATACAAGATATTGGATTTACCCAAAGGACCGTGTCTGCCTACATTGACACGGGTCATCCATGTCTGTTATGGAATTTTCAGACGAGCCAATCAGGAGCTGAAGGAGGGGAAAAAAGAAAAAAAAAAAGCACCGGCCAGGCCAGAAGCCAAGCAGAATGTTTAATTTTAAGTTCACTTTGGATCCAGATTCAGCTGATTCAGAGGGAAAGTGATTCGATTTAGAGATTCGTATCACTGTCCCAATTCGATTTGGCTGAATCAGATCTGAAGATTCAGTGCTGCTTCAGAGATTCAGCCATAGACTAAACAGGAAGCAGCCCTCACCACGTTGGACACAGCTGCCTCCGGCTGGTAAGTCTGTTGTGGTGGGCAGAGGGGGGAGGAAAGGGGCCTGGAGGAGGAAGGGACTGGGGCTGGGACAAGCTGCCCAGCTGGTGCGAGGGCTGCGCAGCAGCGCTTGAAGCAGGGGTTATGCCCTGATGCCACTTGCCCAGCCAGAACGGGGGTGGGGGGGATGTGAGTGCGGCTTGCTCCGGGCAGAAGGGGGGAAGCAGCAGCAGCAGGGCAGGGCCCCCACTCCAGGCACTGCTGCACCCGCATCCCACACCCCACAACTTTGCACAGCCCTAATTATTAGGTACACTAAAAACTGAAAAAGTTTTAAAATTTGGATAGGTGAGGAGAGAGATGCACTGAAATTGCACTGAGTCCATAAGAAACAGGACAAGACTATTTACTATTGGTATTTTAGTCTGGTATGGTTACTCTTCTACAGAAACAATTCAGAAATATGGAGAACACACCTCTAAAAATAAACAAACATGCCTGAGCACTTCCTTGTTTCGTTTTTACCCTTAACACACCACCTGAAGATATATGGCAGGAAATCAAACATTGTAAAAGGATCCTAAAACTTTCCACTAAAGACCATGAATATCCTTGAAGACAGCATATTACTACCGTCACAAGATACTATAATGAGAGTCAGGGAGCAGAAATAATTTTACATGTTAATGAACTTAAAAAGGCTTTCATCCGATTGTAACAAAAATCAGTTTAACAAATAAAAATAAATCAAGTTACAATGTATGGAACCAGGAGAAATGTCACTAAATCAGCTGGAAGAGATATACAGAGACCTATCTTTGCTGATCCAATGAAGGAACAAACACCTATACGCTGCAATCTAGTGATAAAATGACAAACCCCTTCGGGGCAACCTCCTATGTGAATGGCAGAAAGTGCCACTCAGTCCCATATACACAAAGGGCATGGACAGACATAGCATTTAAAATGATTTAAATATGATTTAAGCCTGAAGCAGACAGACATACAAGTCTGTCAAACCATTCAAAATCTATCTGGAATGGCTCAAAAGCAAGCCTGGAAATTCAAGAACTATTTTGAACCAGTTCAGTGTTATGTGCAGACACCAAGTGTTCTGTGGTCAGTCCTCCAACCATCCCACACCGCAGTGCTCCTCACCCACCTCATTCCTACAACTGTCTCCTCACCTTTTTGCTGGCATTTTTTTTTAAACCTAAACACTCCCTTGCACTGCTTGGTCAATAAAACCTATTTTTCTAACAACCAGCAGTGTCCTTAATCTCTACCTGACTGCAGCCCCTCATTATGCCCCTGCAACCCCCAGGAAACAAGCATGGGACCAAGCACCCACACCTCCCCGCCCCCCAAATCAGGCAAGCACACTGCAGGCTTCAGTCACTGGCAGGTTGAAAGTTTACTGAACTCATATTTAGGATAGAAGGGGAAATAAAAGGGGCCCTGAAAGCATGAGAACACTTTCCCCCTACTCACCCATTGTGAAGCATGCTGGGCTGGGTGCTTGGCCTCCCACCCCCATCCCTCCACCCCAGGTATCAGAGCCACCACACTTCACCCAACTGAGCTCTAAGAACGGTTCAATCATTACATGTGTCTGCACCTTGTCCTGCAACAACTGTGAACTGGATCCTAAATCACCAACATTTGAGAAAGGCACAGTTACTTGAGCATTTAATCAGCTGGCATTCACACTGAACTGGAGCTGAAACAAGTTTGATAACTTAAAAAAAAAAAAAAGGACAAAACACTTCAACAGAAACGAGAGAGGGGAGGCAGTAGAGACTGTGTCCTGGGCACACAGCAAGGTCTAACTTTATTTCTGTTGACTACAATAAGAGCAAGTTAGACCAATGACAAGCTCTTTTAAAAATTTCACATTACAGAGTCTATTTTCAGTTCTGCTATCGATGCACAATGCAACACTAGAAGAGTCATCTAGGGCATTTGTACACATTTGCACTGTAGCACCAGACACTTTCAGAAGCACCTGGCTCTACCACTCATGCATTTGTACAAACAGCGAAATGCCATTGCTGAGAAAATGGTAGCAGCATGCTTTTGAACTAAAATGTATCAAAGGTGTTTTAGTTCAAAAGCGCACTGCTGCCATTTTCTCAGCGCCGACGTGCATTTTGCCATTTATACAAATGTATTCGACGCAATGCCGGACACCTCAGCTCGCGTGGAGCAGATTTGACTGAGTCTGCTCCGGCATGCCAGATCTCCGGCACGTCAGAGAAGACAAATATATGTGTATAAATGCTCCTAAAGCCAAGATGCACAAAGTATTTAGGCTCCCATTCATTTCAATTGGAATCAGTGCCTAAGTACCTGGCCAGGACCAGGCCAGAAGCTCATTCCAGTCAATCCAAAGATTCCCATTTATTACAATGAAAGAGTCAGGCATTTAATAATCTCTGTGCTCGTTTCCCCATTACTCCCAATTTGAAGATATTACTTATAAACTTTTCTGTAACTGGAAAGTGCCAAGCAGATGAATAGTAGCATTAACAGAGATGAAATGATGTTTCAGGGTTGTGGGCATGTGCTGTTAGTACTTAATGGAAATTCTGAACTATGAATATTGTACATGTTTCAAGTCAGTGCTCACATCTAAAAGACAATGCAGCAAAGTTATGACTATATATGGAACAGTCTAAGAAAAAAGTAGACAACCAACAAAAATGCAAATCTGCTCTCTCAAGCATGCTTCTGTACCATTTACATTTATGGTCTGTTTCATTTCCTTTGATTCATTGTCCCAAGAATAATCTTTAAGCATTTATTTTCACTACTTACAAGTTTTACAAGCTTATTTTTCCTTTAGTCTCTCATCTATCTCCCCCACTCCTCTGCTGAGCCTGAAAATTGTGCACGCACAAAATAAAGCCCCCAGGCTACAGTTTTCCATTTACTGACATTGTTTTCACACTGAGTTACCACTTCAGTCTTTGTCATCACTTTGATGGATATCAAGTTACTTTAAAACTCTGAAAAGGAAGTGTCCTGTTTTAGTTAAATTGCAAGTCCTCATCAGTCATCAACAGTAGAAATGGAACATTTATTTTCTAACAAGAGAATGACAAAAAAAAGAGAGTTACCTAAAATGAAAATGTTAGTCTCTACTTTTGTTATGCTTTTTACCAACTGCATTTTTAAAGAGGTTTCACATCTATGATGGTATGTTACCACTGATCTCAGTTAAAAAAAAGGTTTTAAAATTTTAAACATGGCTATTGTGCCCATGAGAGAAAAGAAGAAAACTGTGGAATTAAGTCTACGGCTTAAACATATTTTGCAGAAGATTCTGAAGTTCTGTGGAAGGATCCAAATCTGCTTCTTTAGGCCACATAAAGCAAAGCGGACAGAAATAAAAGTATTTACTTGTTCTTTATTTACTGGCCAAACATTTTTAAATTTTAAGTAAGTAATTTTTTAATATAGAAGTCTTTTTTGTAGTAGAAAAAAAAAACAGCTGTTAATGTTCTAATTCACTGGGTATCTACTGTAATGGCTGAAGTTCCAGTTGTGTGATTCTCCAAGTATATTTAAAAGAAAGAGTTAGAGTATTATAACAAAGCTAGGATTAGTCAATCAAATTTGCAGTTCACATTTTAATTATTATTTTAATACCCTATCAACTCCATATATCTAGACTTCTCTGGAGATCAATTTAAGAGCATCTAACTCATCCATTTTAACAGCAAGGTAAGTGCCAAAATAATGAAGCTCAACTAAAATAATTATTATTTCTATTACCATGGTGCTTAAGAGCCCTAGCAGGGACCAGGACACTACTACACTAGTCATCATGCAAACAGTTAAAAAAAAAAAAAAAGATGCCCCAGGACTCCAGGACTTTACAATCCAAATACAAGAGACAATTAACAGATACACAGATGGGTGTGGAAATAAAAAGCACAGAGACAAAACAGGCAGTGGGCTCAGTCCACCAGCAACACAGTCCTAAGTTTCTTTTTGGTAGATCTCATGGCAAAATAAAACTTGCAGGATGGAACTGAAGAAAAATAACAAGATATTTTGATAGAAATCTCCTTCAAAGCATAAGGGGCTGCATGACAGAAAGTGTCAATGTGTCTGCTTGAAAATATAACAAGTAAATAAATGATTCCGGTATTTTGTCTCAACCCAAGACAAAAGTTACTTTCTCAACACTAACTGCAAGATGTCATGCAGAGTATATAAAGGGTCTTAAGGACTTGAGGAGTAAAGACAAGCAACTGATAGTCAATAAGATGCAGAAAGAAAGCTGTGAAACTAACATGACTTGCTGCCATCACATTAACGGTTCTCCCTGTGCTTCTTCCACCCCGGGGAGGTCTGCATAGACTAAAAACAATTGGAGGCAGGCATGGTATAGTAGTACTACTTTGTGTCTGGACAGCATCCACCACAATGGGCCTCATTCTTACTGTTCTGCCTAAGGGCCAACTAATATACAGAATGGATAATAAAGAATGGGAGGATAGTGAATTCCAGGATTTCGAGCGAGGATCCTGGAAGGCTTCCAAAGACCTCAAGGAAAGCAGGCCGAAGGTTTGAAGGTTTATGCCACGCATTAATATCTAATCAGTGCTGAGTCTTACACCAACTTTCTGAACCATTTTCTTTTTTAAATGCAGACATTTTTGCCTAACAAACCTGAATCCATCTATAACACATTCACACTGACATTCACACTTCAGTGCATTTTGAGATTTGAAACCACAGAGATCTCAGTATCACTGTATGGGTAACTCATATTAAGCTACTTTCACAGTATTTGTATAATACATTAAACCTACTACTCATATTAAATGAAAAACAACTTTTTTATTGGATAAATGCAACCTGCATCAGGCAAAACACTTTTATGCACTATTGCCAAACCCAAACAATAAAAAGAATTAAAAATGTATTTGCCTTCAGGGATGCAAGGTTCTTTGGGTTAATCTGATAGCTTTTATCAGACCAATTAATAAAAGATAGCAGATTTACCCCAAAAAAACCTTGTCTGTCTTTGTCCTTAAACCAACACTGCTACAACCTACACCCCTTTGCCTTCAGGGGGCACCTGATTCATATGTTCATGTGTTTCTCTGCTGGCATGAGAACTAGAGCCTTTTTTTCTTAAATGAATGCTGAAATTCTCATGCAGCCTCTGGATTCCAACAGCTGAAATAAAAGAACAAAACGCCAGAGGATTCCCAATTAAAAAACAAAAAAATCAAAGTTAGCAATAATTATTTCCATTATTAGGTAGGCACAAGTAATGTACCTGAAACTAAAGAAAAAAAAAGAGAAAAAAATCATGTTCATTGCTTCACTAAGTTCTCATGTGTGAATCTTATTGCAAGTTCAGGATTTAGAGAAGGGGTGGGCAAAATGGCAGATCTAGCTGATAGCCAGACTCCATTTCCCAGCAGCCCCTGCCTGCATCAATTTGGCCAGTCCCCATGGAGACTCCAGGAACAGCAGGGCTGTGACAGTACCAGGTCAGGGTCTCCATGGAAACTGGCCCAAGCGGCACTGGCAGGGCACACAGCTGGCTGGGAAGCTGCTCCGGGGTCGGGGTCAGGGCTGGGATCTTGCAGCAGCAACAGCATGGGTTGGTGCTGGGGCAGAGCCGCAATCCACTGCCTACACATCCCTGGAGCAACAGATCATGGCTCTGCCCCAGCTCCAGCCTGCACTGTCATCACCACAAGATCCCAGCCCTGGAGCAGCTCCCTGCCCAGCAGCACGGTCTGCTAGTGCCACTCAGGACGGTCCCTCCATAAAGATCCTGGCCCTACGCTACCACAACCCTACAGTTCCTAGGGTCTCCATGGAAATCAGCCGAAACAACGTGGGCAGGGTCTGCTGGGAAATGGAGTCCACTGTGGGCCAGACTTTGCCCATCCTTGACCTAAAGCTGTTGGAATATGGTTATGGACGTAAAAGATGTGTTGGTTTTATTTTTTTAAAACACCCCATCATGCAACCTATATCAAGTTTCCCATTTCATTCAGTTAGTTACATATTGTTTACACATCCACACCCAGTTTTGGCTATTAGCCTTCTGGCCTAAAGGTTGTTCACACTGCTTATACCTTACTAAAGAGTGTGCCTATATAAGCATGCCTATATAACAGGGGTGGGCAAAATGCGGCCCAGGGGCTGGATGTGGCCCGCCAGGCCATTCTATCCAGCCTGCAGGGCCCCTAAAAAATTTAGAAAATTAGTATTTATCTGCCCTGGGCTGCCTGTCATGAGGCCATCGATGGCTTGCCAAAACTCAGTAAGCAGCCCCCGGCCCAAAATAATTGCCTGCCCCTGCTATAAGCATGCCTTGATAAATCCTCTAATCTGCTTTCCAGGGGCAAGAACTGAAAACTTCTGCAAGGCACCATGAGGGGAGGGCAGTGATATGCTCAATTTCCTTGGAATCCAAACTTTTATTTAAGAAATTCTAGTCTTACATTAAGGAAAAATACCCTCCCCAACATGAACAAAATGTTAACTGATTGAATAATGTCCTCCTGAATCTGAATTTAACAAGACATTCTAAAAAATTAAAGTCAGAGAGAAGTTACTGACCATTTCATGATCAAGCAGTGACTTTGTGAGATGAGAGAGTTCCAGGAAAGGAATCCTTCCTCTCCCCAAAAGAGGCCTCATTGTAACAGTGGAAAACTTTACATGGCTTCTCTCTTGTCATCGTTAGGTTGGGCTTATATTAGTTGTTTGGGTTTTTTTTAAAGGGTAAATTCATCTGCACATGCTTCCTCAACCTGACAAAAGGTATTTGTACCCAAAAGCTTGCAAAGAACATTTCCAGCGATCTGAATTGTTCTAATAAAAGATATTGGATTTACCCAAAGAAACTTGTCTGCCTATGTCCTTAGACCAAAACGGCTACAACCTTGAGTAAACTCATCAGCACATCTTCTTTTATACCAAAAAAACCCAACAAGAATAACAAAATACAGTATAAGCAAAAATGCTGAAATGTAAGAACCGCACAATCTGTATTGCCTAAATTATAAATTCAACAAACAATGATGAAGCAAAAGCAAACTTAGAGACATACACAAAGGCAGAATCAAGTTCATTTTTTCTAGAACTTGAAAGATACAGATCTTACTAGCCTGAAATCTAAACTTACTTCCCAGAAGCAGATACAAAAAAAAAAATGAATGTAAACGAGATCCTGGGGCACTACAGGTTTGAGAAGTGCAGCCATACACACATGCACTAGAACATTAATATCCAGGAAATACCGGGAACCCTCCCCAACCCAAATCTTCAATTTCAGACTCTAGCTAGCAAGCATTTGACAACTTTGAAGTTTTAATGTCTTCTAACTTCTAAAAGAGAGAAAAATACTTTTCTCTACCATCTCTTCATGGTCCTCCAGCTACTTCTATTGAAAAGATCTTCTTATTTGTCTAACAGACTTCTGAGGGTGACACAGAAGAGAATAAACATGGCTACTTAATACTTTGAATAATGCCTTCCTAAGTGGCTGTATCCAAATAGCACTATTGGCTCTACACCAGTGGTTCCCAACCTTTCTTATACTCAAGGCACCCCGGATAGTCTTAAGGCACTCCTTGGAAAATGCTGGTTCTTAGCTTTCACTAGTTCTTTTTAACTACCACAAATAATAGAAAACCTTTCTGTTGCACAGAACTCAGAAAAACAAAAACCAGCCACAACATTGTTAACACTGTGGGTTTTTACTTGAAATCTCTAAATATCATACGAATCTTGGCCTCACACAGACATTCCATTTCTCCTAGGACAGTGGCTTCTCTCCTAGAAGAAATGACGAGTATACAGACGTTCAGGTTATCTCCCAGAGTAAAAATGGCCACTCCAGGGAAAAAAAAATAACCTGGAAAGAACCAGGGTTAAATAAGTCCCAAAAGAGTTTACCCTGGGAGAGTGAATGTTTGTAGATGCTGCACACTAGCGCACCTAAAAGTGTCATGGTACTCAGTTGAGAATCACTGGTTTACACAGTCACAATGAAATGGACCAAAAACCTGTTGATTTCACTCTGCTCCTTGCAACAGTAGATTCAACAATGGCCGTGAAAAAGCTGTCATCAGTTCCAGAAAGAAACTGTACACCTTAGAACATGGACTAGGTTGGGCCTGTGGAGCCACCTGACCCAGCCTACGGACATGGGGCTTCAGTAGCACTTGGCACTGGGGGTGTGAGTGAAGGGGGGCTTTGGCAGCTCTCCCACCACATGGTCACAGGGAAAAGCAGCAGCAGCTACTGGGTCCTAATGCAGACCCATCTACCTGCCTCTGATCTGAACTTCAGCCCACAACCTAAAAAAGGTTTCTTAGAACTACTGGGTCCAAAGCCTTAAATAATGGCATGTTAGGCTCCCCATCTCACTATAAAATGCTTTCTACTTGGCCCATACAAATAAGAGATGGGATATTTTCCAAGCACTGAAACACATGAAAGGGCTTGTGAAATACAGGAATTTGTCATGGTTATCTTAGCCATGCAAACAACAGGTTTTTAAAACATTAAAAAATTAACACATTCAGTTAAAGTTCAATGGAGAACCCCACCATATTTGTATCCCTGAGGATAATAAAAAAGAGACAGGCTAAGTTTATGCAAGGGAAAGCAGAAATGAATTTTCCCTTATTTTATTAAAGTATTCCATAAAACTCACTTAACTCCTGACCCACTTTAATCAAATGTACATCTATATCCACCAACAAATAACAAAGATATGTAATGTCTGCATACAAATTCTTCTATTCCAGGTTCAGTCCAAAATCCTGATGGAAACAGTGCAACACTGGCTGAAAGACTAAAAGAGCAAGACAGCATTGGCTTTGCTTGCTGTGCCAAAGCCCCTCCTGAGTATATGACTCTGTGCACATTTTGCCTTTATTGTATATTATTAACTAACAAGTAAGCAGTAAATGTATAATGTCAGTTTTTGTTCCGATTATAAGTGAAACATCATCAAATGTTCATTTTTCACAATATTTTTAATCTCTTCTGTTAAAATGGAAATACCTGTTCCCATTGCAAGCTATTACCACTGTGTTTTTATACTGCTTTATGCACTGACTGCTGCCATTGTTTTATATATAATAGCAGTTTTACTATGGACTTGACTGCGGCCCACTGTTTGTACTTACTTAGGAAAATACAGTTTAGAATTAATTTTAACCATCAACTCTACCTCTAGCTGGCAATTTTAATACTGTTGGTGTCATAAGAATATTTTTCAAGGCACCTACATGTCTAACTCTTTACTAAGAACTCATACGCCTATTACAAGCTGTTGGGCACCTTGTTATTCATATTACTATTTTAAGAATGCCAATAATTATTCAAACCTGATAATTTTGTGAATAAAATTTAAAAGCCTAAGACTCTTAGTCCTCTGTTTATAATAGGTGAGAAACCAAAGCCTGTGAAAAGATGATGACCAAAGAAATGTTCTTCTTCCTCTATTTACTCCTAACTCCAAAAGCAACGTAGAGGAAAAATATTGTAAGTCTTTTTAAAAGTCAGTGTAGTCAAATCTGGGGCTGCAAACACAAATTACAGGGTTATTACATGTCATCACTACCAAACACACTTCAGACTGTCTGGGTGCCTCAGCCAGATACTTCAGTGCCTCAACTTGTTGGATTTTCAGGTTATATTTAACAGAAATTCAGTGAAAAGTATGTAACAACCTTTCTAGGATAATTATTACAATCCTGGAAGTTACTAATATGTCTA